GCAAAGGCTGCTGCGGTGATTTGGTCTCAACTTTTTGGGACAGTGAAAGCCGCAAGTTCCAAACACTCAGTGTTAAGATGTGTAGCAGCGCAGCGTGGGTGGAAGAAAAGGGCCAGAGAAGGCACATGGCAAGCGCCTTGTCTCAAAACTAGTTTCATGTGCTCAACAATCAAAATTTAGATCATTTTGAACAAAGATTTTGCTTACTAAGGCTTTTCGGAGGCAACGTGCTGCTGCAGTGGCGCAGGACGTGAAAAAATGCGGAGATGACCCGACACCAGGATTTTTGGTCAACGAAAACGAGCATTGGACACAAGAACATGAGAAAGAAACGCAGTTACAAAAAAAAAGACGTAAAGAACGTGCTTTGGAAGCAGCTGCTCACAATGGGCTTACAACGGAAGAAAAACTCAATGAATAGGTCCAGACCATGAGCAAGCCGTGGAGGACTTCAAAGCTGCGAGAAGTCAGAAAGTGAGAAGCTACTTGGCCAAAAAAATCCGAGACACAAAGAAAGAAGAGAAAGCCGCGGCATCAATTTTTTCTTTGTGCAGTGGCAAGAAAGTTTTTATTTCAACAATCCAAGCCGCTCCAAGCCTTGTGCTGGACCAGCACATGGACAAGTTGGGTGCAAAATACGAATCTTCCCTTCTGCGTGCGGACGCGTTTGTTGTTCCAGATGTCACAGATCCTGCTGAAGAAACTTTGTGGCACGCATTCCTTTCCGGAGGTTTGCTCCTCAGCCCTCAAGCGTTTAGTCATGGCGAGGGACCAGCTGTGAAGTATTGCTGTGCGGTCAGCATCCGCAGGACTGTTTACATCAGCAGCGGTTTTCAAGAAGAAAACCCTGACTTGTGTGCAGCTATCACTGGCCGCATGCTTCAATGCTTTCTGCAAGCGCAACTTCGCCACAGACCGTCTGCCGAGCTTGTCGCTTTTGTCACCCACAAAGAAAGCAAACAAATTCTGTCAGTCCTTGGTGATACCGGCCAGCCCACAACTGGTCTATGCTGCAAGTTCTTGACCAGAACAAACGCAGCTGTTTTTATATGTAAAGTTGAATTTGCTAAGCATGGTTTATGTGGTCGCTGATTCGAGCATTTATAACAGTAATCAATTCATAACACTGCAATTTCGTAAGTTTTCTGTCAAGTCACCACATAATTTCTTCATTAATTTGGTGCGTATAATTCAGGATTGAGAGCGGGATGGTGGCTTGCCCCTCCTAATCATTAATTTGTTTGCATGACGCTGCCCCCCAGTAGCGCTATAGGTCATGGGCCTTGTGGCTTGCCCCGGTTTGATATTTTTGCATTTACATTAAAAATCAATAGTTTTTTTTGGACATTCTCTTTCAGCTTCTCTCCACAATCCCGCTTGTAATTAGCTGTTTCAATGAAATTTCGATCCGCGGAAAGAAAAATTGCAGCCGCGGACTGTCTGAAACGCCATAGTAAGTGCAAGTAACTAGCCACCAGCCACTGTCTGAGTCACTGGTGCATATACGAGAGTTGCTAAGATTTGGGTTACAAGTTGGGCCTTCAGACCTGGAACTGGCTACGCGGTGAGGCTCAAACCGGACCTCAGGTTTGACTGCAGGGTGTAGTAACAATGACACACAGACAGGAAGCTGAAACCGACAGCAGCAGCAACTACAAGTTTCCAGCAACAATTTTTTTACCTGTACTTAAGTGAAAATAAGCAGTCACAGATCATCACTTCTTCAACTTCAACTTAGCCGCTTAGCTGCTCCGACCATGGGGAAACCAGGTGCTGGCAAGGGAAGCCAGGGTCGCCGTCCCAAGGGCGATGCAGCGAAGCATAAGGGTAAGGGATCTGGTGGCTTGCCCCATCCCAGAAGTGAGCCTTCTGGATTGGGCGGCACAGTCCAAATGCCACGTAGTCACGTTGTCACTTCCTTGCCTGGTCCTGGTCCAAATTTCATCAGCCGGGTTTCTCACAATGTGTTGGCAGTCATTGCTGATATGATAAGAAACGCCGTCGCGGGCAACCCACAACCTGCCAGGAAGCGGCTGCTCCTTTGCACACCAGGACCAGCAAGACATGCAAGATCCCATGGTTCAGCTGCCGGGGGATTTCCAAAAGCAGGGGGCAAGCCACCAACAAACTTGAGACTGCAGACTGCAGAGTCGCAAAGGGCTCAATGATCAGATGGGGGCTGGCCAGCTGCCAGTAAGTGAAGTTAAACTGCTTTGTCGGCTTTGAATCACATGATTGTCAGCTGCCACTCAATGAAGTTGAACTGCTTCCACTTTGAATCGCACCATTTTTTGCATTTTGAATTATCAAGCATGAAATATTACAATTTGATTAATTTAATCTGTAATATGCACACATCTTTCCAATATATATATATATATATTTTAAGATGCAGTTTCTGAGGTACTACAAACATGGAAGAATGATCTGCATTTTTTCAAGACAAACCCCTATTTATTAGATACACTTTGGATAAGAAACCTGTTTTTTCTGCGTAAGGAATTGCTTGTAGGTAATTTTCGAAGCAGCAAGGAAGCAAATCGCACAAAAAACTTTAAAAACAGCCTCTCTCCACAATCCAGGAAGAATCACAGCAACAAAAATGATCTTCTTGTGAGAAAGAAGGGTAAATAAATCAAGTTGGAGAGTTGTGGCTTCATGAAATCTGAGCAAACTGATCACTTGTGTCAGCGGACTCAATATTTGCAGGGTTGAAGATATTAAATGTTGAAACTGACTTCAAGAAACCAACGAGTGGTTTCAAAAGCCAAGCAGCGGCAGGTGTTGGTGGGTCTAGAGTCCTTCACTAAAAATTAATTCACAAATAGAACATCCCTGCGCATCCATGTGAGCTCCCGTCAAAATCCTTTCATCTCAGTAATCAGTAATTATATGTAATTAATATTATTATTACTATTTATTACCAATTACCATTGTTATCGCTTTTGGGGAGACCATATCGCTCTCCAGTGTTTTGTGCCATTATCGCTTTGGGAAGGGTCCCTATCACTTTACAGTTTTCTTGCGCATCTCTCACAAGAGTGCTTCTGCAATACTACAGTGGTTTTCAACAATTTTGACCGTGACTCGTGTATCTCATGTCTAGCCCAGCATCCCTATCCGGCCCTATCCCTTTCTCTCATAGGGTCACTGCACCTCCTCTGATTCCCGTCCATCTTGGATCTCAGCACCGTACAGCTTCATTAATCTTCATAATCTTCATGCAAAGTGCAACAGACAGATCAACACAAATCTTCTGTTCAGTTATGTTCTCATTGTATGCATGTCACGGATCATCCGATACACAAGACACTCGAGAGACTCAAGACACATCCTTCACACATTGACATCTTCTTGACATCTTCTGGACATCAAGCGTCTTCACACTAAGTTCACTACGTGCATCGCCGCGCTGCGCGGCGCAGCGAGTCACAGGTGGTGGCTGTTCCATATGCAACTGCGGCAGGTTTCGAGAGGTTTACATTTTTCCAAAGGTATTCAGATTTCATTCAGGTTTAGATTCACATCCGGTCGGGAATACTTTGGAGAATGCTCAGTTCCTATCATTGCCGTACAGAAGTGTTCGGTATCTTCCATATGGTTGAACGCAACAAAAATAACAAAACCATACAAAACCACTCCATGCCCTGCATGAGGTAGTGGAATAAAAATCATTCTGCACAGAGTGGGGCTGGGATAGCAAAATGATGCAACATGGATGGGGAAAGTCTAGAGTCTAGAGTCTGCCCATGTCTGGCCAGTCTCTCCCAGCTGAACTTGACTTCAAAGCCATCAAACTCTCAGGTTCTTGCATTCCAACAGGGGCCATCGAAGTCGCTTTAGCTAAAAACCGCACGATTTCCATGTTTTTGCTGCAACATGGTTGAAGGATGTTAAAGGAATGTTTAAGGAAACTTGTCAAAAGATCTTTGTTTCATGAACCAACCTCCCGGAACACCACAAAAACCTGCTCCATTGTCTCCACGAAAATGCTGAACAAAACATAATGAAAAACCCACGGTGGGTAAAAAGACTTCGTTTGAGTCCAACTAAGTCATATTCAAATCATATTCATGCTCTCATTTTTAAGTACCGTCCATCCATTGTTTTACCTTTGCTTGAGCTTCTGAGCCTCTGTTTTCAGTCACAGGTCACTGCAAAGGTGTGCCAAAAAAGGGGATGCAATGCCGGGCAGTTCCACCGATGGAGACACGAAAACGATTTCTGCCTAGATCAAAACATATCAAAACCATTCAAAATAAGTAGCAATCATTAGCAGTCTGTAGATGTCTGTAGACGTCTGTAGTCCCTCTTATTCCAATGTGGCCTCAAATGTCCACCCCTAGCAGGTGCGCGCTTGGTTTCACACGCGGCCGGTGGTGGCTCAAAACGTGGGCGAGCCAGGCATCTGGTATCGCTCTTTGGTTTTTTTGCCAGTAATTCATATAGTAATTCTCAGTACTTCATAGTAATTCAGATAATGGCTCGACAAGGCGTGAAATGATACGAACTGACACCAGGGCGAGACTCACCCACCAACCTCTAAAGGCTCAAGCAAGGCAGGTTGCCTTGCACAAGCCGCTGCGCGCATTGGGGCGCAAAGCCTTACAAAGCTGAGATCTGCAACCGTCCAATTCAGTTTGATGGTTTTGAATGGTCTTAAGTCTCAATATGTTGTGATGTCTTCAAGTCCAATGTGAGAGTCGCCAGTGTCGCATTAGACGGTGGCAGCCATGACTGCAGTCATGGAAGAAGCTGTATTGTTTATGTCGAACTGGAAATAAATGGGCCGGCTGGCTGGTCAAGCATTCCATGTGATCTTCCAACTTCTGCAAAATTGCAAAATCTTCTCAGGTCACGGGTCCAAGATGTTCAGTGATGAACATGGTGCCATCATATGCCATCATATCCAACATTGCAGAAAATTCCGGCTGAAATCATGATGCTTAAATGTTGACAAATTCACATGAACTGTTAAGACTGCTGCTAGGGAAAATGATCATCGATATCCATCCACTGCAAAATAATCAGAAGTCATCGCATGTCATCGCAAGTCCAAGTGGTTGGACTCAGATCACTCAGATTTTTCCGCTCACTCCTCCCCTGAGCACGGGAGATCACGAGCCGAGTTCACCCACGATACCCCGGGATGAAGATTGCTTGTGTCGCGTTGCACCAGGCCCAGACTCAAAATCGCTTTAGCAAATTTTAGCGATCTGACACTGGAGCTGAGGCCGCCAAAAAGTCGTATTGAATTCTTAACCGTGATCCAAGATGCTACATTACGGGTTTTGCACGGTATTGCTATGTTAGCATGAGGCAGGTGTCTAGGCCCCACATCAGCCTAACAGCAGGCATCAGTTCCGCTGTCTGCCCGCCTCGACCGAGCCCTCTGCCCGCAAAGCCAGAGAACGCCCCACTCCGAGTGGATTTCCTTGAGGAGGAAACCGGAACACACTATCTGAAAATATCTGGAAGCATGTTGGGTCTGCTAAACACCTTCTGAAGATCCACTTGTAGTTGCAAAATGTTACAAAATGTTACAGATCTCTATAGTCATTACAAATCTATGGTCATTTTGAAAGGTCCTGTTTGAATCAGGGAATCAAACTATTCAACACAGAATTGAGACGTGACATGGCACGGAAGAATCATTATGCTTGCCCATCTTGCCTGCTTGTTCTCCCCATACTCGAAACATGCAACAAATGCATACAAATCATTACAAATCCATCATAGGTACCACTTCATAAGCTCAAAATGAATAGTCCAAATACATCCAAATACGGGGAATCGAAACAAGTTGCTAGCATCTTCGGGGGAGTGCTTTTGTCCGAAAGCAGCACGAAATGAATCGAAATGATCTGCTATGTTTTCCTGGTTTGATTTTGACACAGGCGGTAGACCAGCAGACTTTGGACTCTGTGACTCCTACCCCAACATTGGACTCCATGAGGCCCAGGCCTATCACGTACACTATCATATCTATCATTCACACTGATGTTTGTTTACCACACAAGCAGACTGGATCCAAGTTGAACGTGAGAATCATAATATGTCATAATATTTCACTTCAGAGACTTACCCTTGATATCCCTTGGTATCCCTTGGTAGCTGCCCGGAAATCCTCAAGTCTCCCATGCTGACCTTCATCCCAGCCCGTCCTCTCGTCACGAGGTGCAGCAGCCTTGGATGCGGACTTGGACTTTCCACAGACATCGACTGGATCAGATTGAAATTTGCGCTCTACCACACTTGTGTCTTGCCGCGTATCTCTGTTCTTGATCAATCTACAAATCAATCGAATTTATGAATATATTATAATATATTAATATATGATCATATTGGTAATGTGACGGGTCTTCATCCACACAAGCGTTGCAAAGAGCTGCAACTGCTGCGACGCAGGAACGCAGTATAGGCCTTTGCTTGGTCTCCCAACGGGGGATGTCGCAGCTTGTGTGCCTCCAAAGCCACCGGCGGGGACCCCACGTCCCCCAAAGCCACCAGCAGGGACACCACGTCCTCCGAAGCCACCAGACGGAACACCGCGAGCATTGGCACCATGGCCATTGGCATAGCTGCCATAGCTGCCATAGCTAGAGCCGGACCCGTTGGCATAGCTGGAGCCACTTCGGGCGCCATAGCTGCCATAGCCGCCAGAGCCATTGGCATAGGATGTTCCAGACCGAGTTGGTGCCCCAGTGCCTGCTCTGCTGGAGCTAGACTGGGAATAGCCATTGGCTCCAGATGAAAGGCTGCTTCTGTCACTGCCATTTCTTGCGCTGGCTGACGCGGAAGCGGCAGGAGTGGGCGAAGAAGGCGTCCTTGTTGATTCAGGTGTGGAGGATGTTGGCCTCAAGTTGGCATGTTGAGACAAGGAGATTTAAAGGCCACTGTTGGCCATCAAACATGACAACCTCGAAATCGCATGAAACTGCTACAGTATGCTAGTCTATGCTGGAAAAAGAAATGCTAGGCGAAATGGAGAATGAGAATACGCATGTTTTTTGTCCGCATCAACAATGCGCGGAAAATGACATGATAGAATGGAAGGAATTGCAGCGGCCTGGAATAACTTGCGAACAAGAAATGCTCCGAACACCAATTTTAGCAGCTTAGCAGCAACGTGCAGCAACCATGAATAATGGATTTTGCACATATTCAGTACAGGGATCAAAATGTGCAAAGATGTTAAAAAATAATTAAAGAATATTGCTTAAAGCCTGGCCCGTTCAAAGCATCTTTCTATCCAGGCCAACCGATCTCAAGCGATCGCCAAGCGGCGTTGAGTTTCGGTTTGTGAAGGCTCCTCTTAATCCTTCGGAGAAGCCCTTAGCCTCAGCGCAGGAGTTCCATGGAGTTCCACAAGAAATTGGGTGCATGCCATTGCACTATCTTCACCATCCTTCACCTATGCCTATGCAGCCTGTCAAGTGATTCAGCTCAATATACATGTGGAATCGCATGGATGAAATTTGAAGAGCTGCACTGGATTATTGAAGTTATAGGAGTCAAAGAGATCAATCACGTAGACAAATACAACTTCCAAGCTCAACGTCGCTCAATAAATCTTAACAGTTCTTAGAAGTATTTGAGTTTCTTCCAGTTCAAGCTGAGCGGCACTCGGGTCATTGGACCGCTCGCTTTTCCGTTCCGCGGGTTTGATTTCGCTGGCAGCAGCAGTGGATTCACTGCTACTGAAGCCACCGGCTGGGACGCCAAAGCCGCCAGCCTGGATGCCTCATAAGGATGCAAAGCTGGGAACATGTTTGTACATGTTGAATCATTTTAGTGTACCATGCTAACTAATTGTGTTCAAAGGGCAATGATCAAGGCTACTTTAGATCCCAGCGAAGTCGTGTTGTTCCCTCCTTGCTTCCCTCATGTTCCACTGATGCACTGAGGGTTCCACCATTTCCTTGTGATCGGGCTTGTCGCCTGAGTGACAACATGTCACAATATGTGACACTCCAGCAAGCTTCCGAGCTGGAGCAATGAGACAAAAGGCACAGAAAGGTTGCGGCGGGTCACTAAACCTCTCCGTTTGAACATCATCAAGAGGCAAAAGACATGTTGACTGCGACCAATTTAGCCCAAAGCTTACAGACGTGCAAGACCCTCCTCATCCAATATCATTCAACCGCCCAGTGGCTCTGGCAACAGCGAGTTGTACCCGAAGCCAGCCTTAGATTGAAAAGAACTGAATGAACAGCTGCAACATCTTGTTGAGAGCCCTCAGTATGTTGCCAATAGAGTCGCTGCCCTGGTACGGTGTCGTAGGGTCTTAAAAGAGATGAGAAGAACAGAAAGGTGGTCAATAAGGATGTGTGCCTATCCCTTCACTGCACGGGATTGTCACTGGTTTGTATTATTTGTATTGTTTTGATTTGCTTTGTAGGAGCTGGAGTACCATACTGTGAGTACAAGTCTCAGAGTTTCTGTGCTGAGCATCGAACTCCCTGCGTGGTGTTCGCCTTGCCCATGGGCTGAGTAGGGCGCCTTGGCAACTAGCTGCTCGACTTTAAAGATTGCAATGATCATCTGTGAAGCTGCAAATATCAGGACTGGGAGTTTTAACATTATTTTAATGTGTGTTTCCTGATATTCCTGAGCCAGCATGGGAAGCAATGGGAATGGTGCCCAACATTCGAGAGTTGGTGCACCATTGGCGGTTTGAATGGCTGAACAATTTGCCCCTTTCCTGAAAACCCTTTAAAAGATATATCAAACGAAGATTTCAATGTAGCCGAGGGACTGTGAACGCTCCATATCTTGCTTCAACTCACTCATAATCTGGCACAGGTCGGCATCCCACAGCAACCATTCAAGGGCGACAAGATCAACATTTCAGTGTGCCATAGAATGTTCCACACGTAAATAATTCTAACTTCTAACTGTTCTAACTTCTAAGATTCTAAGTGTGACTTGCCCTTGCAAGACTCATGGATATCCATGGGTTGCATAGTCGCAAGATTTCAGACTGCGATTGCAGCGTCAGACACCTGGTCACAGATCTCCAAGTTCTCGCGGCTTCGAGCTTTCTCAAAGATGGCTCGTGCTTCCTCAGCAAATCCCGTACTAGGACTTGGATGCAGTTTTTGCATGTATATTATATGTATATATATATAGCATATTCAATACATATTGCAGTACATGTTGCTGAATCACTAGGATTTTTTTGGAGCGGAACCACCAAATGTTTCGCCCTGGAGAGTCACGTCTGTTTTTAGGGCCGCATCGTCCTTAGGTGTTACAACCTGTCGTGTCAAGAGCCTTGTATGTCTTTAAGTGGTTCAGTTATCAGTGCGTTCATAATAAGCTGGTAATACTAACCAATAATATTAGCTAATACTGTAGTTTTCAATTGTCAATGGATTTCATTTTCTCTCCGCCTTGTAGCGTTGCCAAGGATCCAAATTGGCACGCTCGGCCTCTTCGTAGTTGCGACACAGAAAATGAGCCTTCGAGTATCAGATTCTCAGAATCATGACATGGACATGAGAACCTATCATTTATTTCTTGGCAAGACTAAACATGTCATGACTTTTCAGGTCTGACTGAATTTGCAACCAAAGAGTGAACAAACCCCTGAGCATGAATGGAGTCTGAGAAATTTATGCAGTTTCTCAGATTTGCATAATAGTACAATCATGTATAATCATGGTATTAAATAGTGCAATGCAATGATACGGCGATGCATGTCTACTTGAGGCTATCAAATGCCAACATAGCCTGGCACAGGGAGACCAAAGCAGGTCCCAAGTTCTCTTTTTGTGGACTGCGTTGCGCAAGCTCCTCGCGTGCAGCTTTTGAGGCTTTTGAGATAGCATCACATCCATATAGCACAGGTTTCCCATTCGAGATGGAAAGTCTCCAACCCACTCCACTCGTGGCATTTGATCACAGTAAAATCGAATTAGTCTGCGCAGTCCATGTATTCACGAGCGTAGCGCAGTGCATTGGGTCCATCTTGTCCTGAGTCAGTTTCTCGGAATCCTCCGAAAATCTTCTGGCAGACATTGAGTCTTGCATAGTTTTGCAGTATTGTTGCCATGTTGTGCGGCAAAAATGTATTGAGGTCCCAGCCAAGCAAATGAGCGTGGAAAATCCGTTGGACTCCGCCAATCTGCGTGGCACAATCAACTTTGCATGCCTCTTTCTACTCAGAAAATATGTTAATTACTGACTGCAATTCTGAATGTTTCTGATGAGCATTGGACCCATCTGCTCTTCACCTTTTTCAGCTTCGTGTTCTGCTCAGAACCCACAAACATGATAAACACGATAAACATGGTAAACATGGATGCTTTTGAGCAAATATAATAACCCTTGAAGAGATGTCCATGCCTCTCCAGACTGGTCATTGAGCGTTCTGTGAATGGCCAAGGCATCTTCACTGACCTGTCATCTTATGGAGATTTGGAGTGAACACAACATGATTTTGTTTGCATGTGGCATGGCCAAAATATATCAAAATATGCTAAAATGTCTAAGTTATAACACTAAAATCACATATTATGCAGTGAAGTATTCAAGATATTCAAGCCAAAAGTAAATCACAGCACTCTTTGATTTTTTGGGCCGCCCTGCCCCCCCCCGGTGGCTTGCTGCCGACCTTGACAGCCTCCTTCAACCCACGGGGTCGGCTGCGGATTCCAGGGTGGTTCACCTCAGCATCACCACTTCTAGTTGCAAAACAAGTACATCATAATAATCATAATATAGTGATTAATATTCATATGCATATGTAACATATGTATAATTATTTATATATAATATATATATATAATTGTATATATATAATTGTATATATATACGATTATATACGATTATATACGTATATTAAACTTAATTATATAATCGTAATACTTACCACTGAATATTTTGTCAGCAGGCACTTTTAGCGGGGCCTTCCACACACGAACAAGATTGAGTTTCAAGGCCGCGGATTTCTTCGGGTTAACAGAACAAGCTTGGGGTTCTTTGCAAATGGCAAGCAAGAATAACAAACATCAGAGACAAAAATCTGGGGCCGAACGGAGGACAACGCCTTCGTATCAAATTGGTACAGTCTCCTGATGTCTCCTGCAGAAACTTGTTGAGACCATGACATCATGATGACCAGTCTGGAGGTGTACCGAAGCCAGGCCTAAGCAAACAGCTGCCGAACAATGCATATATTGTCATTATATTATGTCATTATACTATGCCATTGTCTAACTACAATCGAAACATCTCAAAACATATCGGAATGATACCTTGGACAAGTCTCCGACACGCGAGCGCAGAAGCTTTAGCGGCTTCATCCTTCACAGGTGCCTCATGAAACGTGGGCTGTCTAGCTTCATGTGGAGGCCCATAGAGGCAACATGAATATCATGAATCAAAATGATGCAACACCATGACACCATGCATGATGCAACATGACGGCACCATACGTCACCAACGCATGTTGCTACCCTTCTGCACCACAAGGATGACTACTCCGGAAATCTCCAAATGAGTTTCTCGACGAGTCTCTCGACATGTTGCTACTCTGTGACCTCCAAATGTTGAAATATGTTGAAATGTGTTGAAATATGTTGACTTGAGAGGGGGAACACGAAAGGCAGGTAGGTAAGCAAGAAAGGAACCGGAGAAAAAATGAAGGGGAGAGGGGAGGGAAAAATACATAAAGTGGAGTCTGGTAAAAGCGACGCGGCCATTTTCTTTCCAAAAATATGAAGGGGAGTCTGGTAAAAGCGACTGAAAGGCTTCGGCGATGTGGTTGGGGTTGGTGGTGGTTGTGGTGTTGGTGGTGTTGGTGGTGCTGGTGGTGTTGGTGTTGTTGGTGTTGTTGGTATTGGTGTTGTTGGTGTTGTTGGTGGTGGTAGTGTTTCTGGTGTTGTTAGTGTTGTTGGTGTGGTTGGGTTTGTTGGTGGTGTTGGTGTTGTTGGTCGTGTTGTTGGTCGTGTTGTTGGTGTTGGTATTGTTCGTGTTCGTGTTGTTGTTGTTGTTGTTGCTGTTGTTGTTGCTGTTGCTGCTGCTGCTGTTGATGGTGTTGTTGTTGTTGTTGTTGTTTGTTGTTTGTTGTTTGTTGTTTGTTGTGTGTTGTTGTGTGTTGTTGTGTGTTGTTGTGTGTTGTTGTGTGTTGTTGGTTGTTGGTTGTTGGTTGTTGGTTGTTGGTTGTTGGTTGTTGTTGTTGTTGTTGTTGTTGTTGTTGTTGTTGTTGTTGTTGTTGTTGTTGTTGTGTTGTTGTTGTGTTGTTGTGTGTTGCGTGTGTTGTTGTGTGTTGTTGTGTGTTGTGGTGTGTTGTTGTGTGTTGTGGTGTGTGTGTGTGTTGTTGTGTGTTGTTGTGTGTTGTTGTGTGTTGTTGTGTGTTGTTGTGTGTTGTTGTGTGTTGTTGTGTGTTGTTGTGTGTTGTTGTGTGTTGAGGTGTGTTGTGTGTTCTTGTGTGTTCTTGTGTGTTCTTGTGTGTGTGTTGTGGTGTGTTGTGGTGTGTTGTTGTGTGTTGTTTGTGTTGTTGTGTGTGTTGTTGTGTGTGTTGTTGCGTGTTGTTGTGTGTTGTTGTTGTGTTGTTGTGTTGTGCGTTGTGCGTTGTGCGTTGTGCATTGTGCATTGTGCGTTGTGCCTTGTGCCTTGTGCGTTGTGTGTTGGTGTTGTTGTTGTTGTTGTGTCGTTGTTGTGTTGCTGTTGCTGTTGGTGTTGTGGTTGTTGGTGTTGGTGTTACCCCTGCAGCGTTTTTGCTCGGTTCCGTAGTGGCCGAAAATCGTCAAATCGGTGGTGTTTTCGCGTGTTTTTGCAACTCTCGGAGCAAAAAACACCGTAAATACCGATGTTTTTGGCGGGTCGGAAGCCCAAAACCACGGTATTTACGATGTTTTTTTGCCTCTGGTAGTAAAAAGCACGGTATTTACAGTGTTTTTTGGCCAGCACCTAGCAAAAACACTGGTATTTACGGAGGTTTCACCATGTAGCAAAATGTGGTTTCTTGATCCGAAAAGAACAAAAATACTGTAAATTACAATGTTTTGAGTCTGCTCTTAGGGTGCGTGGGAGGTGTGGGGGGGTGGGAGGGGGGGGGGGGGAAGGGGGGTGGGGGAGGTACTAAAAATGACTAGCAATATCCTGAAGAATCAGGTAACGGGGCTGGCCGCCCTCCCCTTTACTTCGTAAAGTAAAACTCAAGGTAGCCCCTCTGGAGCTACCTTTCGTGAAATGTCACATCTGTAGGTAATCTCTGCGCACCTTCTCTACCAGCTGTAGGGCTTCTTTGGCCAAATCCAGTGCCTCGGCAAACCTGCACACGGCACAGCGCACTGCACTTCACATCAATTCCCACCCAGCAAAAGTGGCGTTGCAACGTAATGCACGGAAGATTAAACAAAATAATTAATACATATTAATACAACAGAGATTATATTGGTGCATAGGTCTTCCAAGTGAATCTCTTGAACCAAAGTCTGAGTGTGGTTTCCCCGCATCAATAGGAAAGTATCATGGAGGCAAAAGAGAAACCACGTTTGCAGATTTCAGATTTTAGATCCTGCGGGAGAGTTCCAAGACAAACTACCCGGGGTGGACACGCTTTGAAGGCCTCTCTGTGCCGGTGTAAGCTTCTGCACAAGCCTCATGATGGAGCTTGCCATTAAGCTATGGCAACAAGATACGTGAGGCAAGGTGACATAATCTGAATACGGTGTCAAAACATTGACAAGGTAGATGTGCCATGGTGTGCCGGCATCCATGTGCATGGAAGATTGCAAGCATGCGCTAGAATCACAATATATATATATATAAATAAACATATATCATGTACACATATATATATATATGTGTATATATACAAATATATATATACATATATATATACATACATTTATATATTATATAATTACATATATACATATATGTATATACAACAATATATTATATAATTACATATGTACATATATGTATATACAACAATATATACATATATATATATATTATGCATATTATTGTAAAAATGTAATATAATGGATTATAATTGTATATATATACATATAACCTAATATATTTCATTATATTTCTCTGCCATCACCACGAAGTACATTCAAAGTACCCCTCCTGTCATCTCCTGCCACTTCATGTCTACCCGATCACAATCCCGGTCGCCTGAAGGGTCGTTGCCAACACCTTGGCATCTCCAGAACTTCGTGCCAACTCCTGAGACATGGTGATCCAATGTGATCCACATGGTGCTAGACGACTGTCAAATCTATTCTGTCAAGGTCGTTCTTTGATTGTAAATAATTGTAATTAGAGATTGATTGAATATTGTTGAAAATATTTGGAATACAGTATATATTGGAACTCGATAATCTGAAACGCTTTGCATTTTCCTGTGTGGAAAAAATTGGGTCTCCTCCGCTCGTTTTGCTGTCTCTGAGGCCGTGCTGTTTGACTTCAAGGAAACATGCCTCGGGTAGGTGCAAGACAGTTCAATATGCTTCAAGGTGGTGCAACATGACTTCAAAATACATTCAAGATCATTCAAGAATGAGATTCAGAATCTCTCTTCCTCTAACCATTGGATTTTCTCTTTCGACTGCCAAGTCCTGCCGTACTGGAGCAATCTGCCGTACGTACAGAAGGCTCTGTTCCAGCTGTGTGAGCACATTGAGCTCTGGACAGCTGGGTGCATTGAGCCAATGCGCGGGCTTCTCCACCGATGTCCCCGACAGACTAAGTCAAAAAAGAAGTCATTTGATTCATTTGCTACCCATCAACATCCCATCAACTTAGTTCACAGAAGTATGTCAGTATGTCCGCTTGCAATGCTCCTCCATAGTCCATGTTGCGTGCACACTCCAAAACCCAAGGCATCCTTCTGTCAAGACTCAACCAACAAAAACGTTTGTGCAAATGATTGGCTATTGCTATGCTATTGGTAAGCCTTGAATCTCCCAAGGCCCGCACATTGAACATAGACGCCTCAGTGAGAAGGCAAAAGTCAATTGAAGGGACAAGAAAAGCACCCAAAAATACCCAAATTCCAAGTGGATTTCCTTGAGCCAATCTGAGGGGTAAGTATGTTTAGAATAGTCTAGCAGTGTAGCTATATGATATTATAATATATTATAATATGATACAATATGTATATACATATATGGATACTTCTTTGCCGTTCACAAACGCAAGTTTATTGCATTGTTGCTTGATGTAAAGCCAAACTTTGAACCCTGAGCTTTGCAAAGGGAAATCTAGCACTGCTCAGTCAGCTACCGCGTCTTTGCACAGGCGGAGCGCGTCTCTTGGTCCCATTGTCTGTTGGGTCCTTGACTGCTTGGACACATAAACTGCCAAATGCACTGCAAGGGTCAGGTCGAAGGAGTAGCACTTATGAAGACTGGGTGGTTTCGTGCCCCTCGTGCAACTTGAACTTCGTGATTTAAGCTGTCCCAAGTGCAGCACATCTCCGCTAAGCCCAATGTCGCAGAAGCCTGGCATGCCAACCCATCTTTGTGGATCCTTGCTGATGTACAGCAATGGATTGTGCAAAGGGTCAATCTGTAGGTTGGCGAGCTCAATCAAAAGCTCAATCCGTTTTTGTGCAAATGCTGTGGTGAGCACTTTATGTGAGGGAGTTCTTTTGTTCTTTTTGGACAGCTAGTTGCAGCTGGTTGGCCAGTGTGAGGAGCCAGAAACGGATCATCACAGCATTTGATAGAAGTTGGAGAGAGAAGGAACTCGTCCAGTTCCTGAATTGGAATTCCCGATTGCTCAATGTTCGCATATATTCGCCCCTGTTTTTTCCTATCTTCCCTGAGAATCTGGGGACATCCTTTCCCTGCCTCTTCTTCCTTGAAACCAGCTTCTCTGAAGACCTTCACCTGGTCTCGAGCCTTGGAGTTTGTGATTCGTTCACATGCAGATCTGCAAGTTCGCAATCTCAGAAGATGCATCAAATTACTCAAAGATCGCCAAGTCTTTTTGGAAACGACCTATGTTGGGGCGAAACCATTTATGTACTGCACATTTACAAGTCTTGAATGCCCGACATCGTAGGGTATGGGGTGCCTATGGGGTGCCAGTCCGGTAAGCAAAACCCTTAGGAGCCGGCAGCTTGGATTGCCTCGTGCTGCTCACCAGCCTCACACGAGACAGTCAGCATGGATTGGCATGTACTTGTAATAATTCATAATGTATAATTACCAATAAAGCCATATTAGTATGTACTATGTATATAATATTATAATGTTCTAAGCATGTCATAAAGTAATGTATAGCCTGTATAGCCATAATGTGTATATCATATTATGCCATAGGTTGTAGATATAATATATAATCAGATAATCACAACATATTATAACATACCGCCGCATGTTGGCGCATGGCTAGAAAGCTAGAGTTGGCCGAGCTGGCCAGCCCACCCCCGGTTGCAACCATACGTGCTCACATCTGAAAATGTGTTGCTATTGTTGGGACATAGGATACCTAGATATACCTAGGGGATCCTAGGGGTATGCGCCCACCCATGGCCCGCGTCAATGACTCCAGGATGCCCCCCCACCACATGCTACCTCCAAAAACACAGAGGTCAGGTACTGCAGAACGTTCACAGCACCCTGAAGAAAGCCATAGGCTGCAAAAGCCATCCAGCCGTGTTGGGGCAGCTTGGTGGGATCAAGGCCTCAAAACATTCCTCAAAACATTTATTGCGTGATATTGCGTGCAAGTATACCACAGTATGTCAATCAAAGATCACATAGTAAACGCCTCTTTTAATCACCGCAACACATCAATCAAAGTAAGAATTGGAAGGCAGCGTACAATAGCGTACAACCGTTGCAGAAGTCCATCCTTCACTGCAAAGCTCCAAGTCTCCCACAACCACAACCACAGCATGCCAAGTTTTCAGTCTATTAGCCATGCCTTGGTATCACCGATCTCTTTGAAGAGCCGCTGCACCTGAGTTCTTCGAATCCAACCCCGCCCATGTTGCTGTCAAATTCGCGGAGCATATTGTGGAGGTTCAGTATTGTAATAAATGGTGTTGTCATCTTTCCTACTTTGTCTCTTGAGGGGTTCAAAATTGCGAACATCGCCAATATTTGAGCCATTTCAGCGCCTGCCGCGTATTCAATCCAACAAGAAATAATATTTGGCCAACCCGCTGTGAACATCCAGCTTTGGCATTCAGAATCTGGAGAAGTACTGGAACACCACCACCACCATCACCACCACCATCACCACCACCAGCAGCAACAGCAACAGCAACAGCAACAACATGCAACAACAACAACAACAACAACAACAACAACAACAACGATGACGACGACGACGACGAGGAGGAGGCTTCCAAGTGGTCATCAAGGCGCATCCTTTGCAGACCGTTTGGCATCCATAGTCCTCTTTGCCTTGCATTCCGCACAAACGGAAATGTGTCACAGATTGGTATGACATGGGAATATTCTCAAGCTGCGCTGCGCTTTTATACGCTATGTCCGTATATGTCCGATATGTAATGTGATTCAGTATTTCTGGACCTGGCCTGGCACTGCAGCTCAACAAGGAGATAGGCAGCCTCCACTGAGTACAACCCACGAACATCCCGCAGAAACCATTGCTTGATATTAGGGGCATACAACGGTCGTGACAACGTGTCCCAATGCACGGCTGCCTTGCCTTGGCTTCACCCTTGAGGTCACCAATCTGTCGAAGCACAAGAAATCTCAACAACCCTAGGGCCCTATTGCATCCTATTGCTGTCTGAAATCTGTAAGATGTTGTAAGATGTTGTAAGTCAATTGAAATACAGATAATACAGGTTGGCCAAGACAATGCAGCTTTCCAAGGCCTGGCGCAGCTGCTCCATCACTTCGGTGGCTCTGCGAATGGCTTCCCGTGGTCTGTCCTGGACGACACGTGGTACAAGCCCTAGTAGAATGGGGCAGAGATGGGCAGAGATATGTTGTATTATGTTGTGGTCCATGCATTCCATGATATTCCATGCCATGTCTCGCCACTCGGCACAGCACACAAACGGGCAGCAGCTCTCCTGCATAGCCATCGCGGCCGCCATCTTTAGTTGAGCGAATGCCTAGCAACAACTTGTCGGGCACAGTCTGTCCATCCTCCAATTAAAAACTCAAACTTTGGCGTGCAATCAATTAGAATATGTTAGACTATATTAGAATCACTATATAGAAACCTGCTCATGACACAAGGTACCTCTCTCTCTCTCTCCTCCCTCTGTAAGTGCCTCCCTCTTCCGGTCTCCCACTTTCTTGGCCATCATGAGCTCCTGGTCACCCGGCTGGACACGGAAGAAGACATCAACATGCTTCAAAGTGAAGGAGTGGAACTGCTCAGTTCTAGTCCCAAAAGGTTGCCTTGAGCGTACTCAGTCTAAAGTATGCTTGGTTTCAACACTTATATACCACAGAGGAAGCACTGTCAGCTCTATTCATGCTGAAAGCCTGCCAGCCTGCTGGTGGCATTCCGCACAAACATACAGCGTATCATGTCACATTATATTGTTCACACCCAGGAGTTCTTCGGGTATCGGTACTTGATGGTACTTGTATACCAAACACCAAAAAGCACACCGGAAACTGTGAGTGCGGCGACATAAACCCTATGCACAAGCATGCGTGCTTCACATGAACAGCCTTCCTTTTGCACCCCTCAATGGTTTTCGGGATGTCCTCCTCTGCAATGCCGCTGGCTCTCTCCTGGATTCTGAAGATGGCAAGAGATACAATTCCAAGGCTCTTTACATCTCCTTACATCGCCTTAAATCTCCTTGCGCATGTTTCCGGTCACATCATGTCACATTAATTCGTAGAGCCGCACCCCAGAACAGCTCCTGCCCACTGATCTGCATGAGAACCTACGAGCCCCGGTCCCAGCGGAGTCTACGTGCGGGTTCTGCGGGTTCCGTGGCTTGTCTTGTTTTCAGGGTATCGACTGACCAACTTCAGAGCGATTTATATACATTTATATACTCATTCCTACAAATGATGATGGATGATTAAAGGATGTTGAGCTTCCAAAGTATTCCAAAGTGCTGTTGTTTCCAGCCGAACAAGTGAGCGGTGATAAATGCAAACTGCAGATGATTCATCCTCCTTGCCGGTCCATACCTGGACCTTGCACCCCAAACTCCCGCGCCTGAAGCACCTGGCCAATCATGTCAATGTCCCTGACCTCTCGTGCCAATGCGAGAGCCTGCTTAGCAGCCTGCAGCTGTGGAACGCAGAATGGAGAGCCTACGTCCTACCTACGTGCTCCCAACCATCGAATCTGACGGCTCGCAAACACCAGGTGCTGTGGTTTTGACATGTTTTGACTGATGCTTGAGAGCAGCATAGCTCGCAGTTCTCTTTTCAATCCTTCCCAGCGGCGTCCACTAGCGTTTCTGGCCTTCAAGGCATCATGAGCTTGCTGTGCATTTACATAGGCCTAAGGTCTCCGGTGTAGCAGCTGGCAGTGTAGTAAATCGAAGTTGGATTCAAATTCAACTCATGTTACAGTGGTTCAAAAGATGGCAGACCTATCCAAATCTATATACCAAAACTGCCATTCGTGGCCTCAAATCCAGGTGAAATTGATATGATCCGATAGATCCACGTCTGAAGGCAAGCATAATTGCACTCTGAAGACTGACATCTCTGGTGCCATGTTCCCCGGCCATGCATGAGCAAAGGCATGCTGCAGCCTGGATAAGAACAGCAGAATCCACGTTTTGGCAAACCCTGCGGAGGCTATAACAATCTATAACATGAACCGACATGGATATGCAAGGTGAAATTTGTAGACCATGGTACAGTAGAGAAGGCCACGGAGAAATGTTGGTAATGCTGTTTGGACGAAGTCTTATGGAATTGTGCATGCAAAAAACTTTTGCAATCGGTTCTCAGCAAATTCCAATTCTCCCATCTTGCGATCTTATTCATCTCTGTCAGCCAAGGCCACACCATGTCATCCGTTCTGGAAGCCAAAATCTTGAGAGATATGTAACTAACTGAGCATGGGGGGTAAGGAGATGACTGCACGGCTAAGATTCTGAAAAGGCTGAGAAAACTTACTGTGGTAGTGACTGTGTGCCCTGTTTGGCATGTTTATTATCTATGCCCGCTTTGGCGCATGGAAGATCAACCCCAGTACATATCGTGCATGTCCATCCATCCATCCATCCGTCCGTCCGTCCATCCACAGATACATATCATACATTACACTACACTGCACTGCACTGTACTGCCCTACACTACACTACATTACACTGCCCTACGCTACACTACACTACATTGCACTACACTCCATTCCTCGCATGCATTGAATACATTACTGCATTACATACATACAGTACATTCATTAAATGCATTGCATGAATTGCATACATTGTATGCATTGCATGCATTACATAGATACAAACCTTACATAACGTTACACTACAGTGCATAACATTGCTTGGCATCACACAACGTAACATTACATTACATGACATTACATTGCATTGCATTGCATTCCACGACATTACTTATATTACTTTACATTACATGCACTACGTTAATTAAGCTAAATCACATTACCTTACCTGACTTTACATTTCATTACATTATATGCATCACATGCATTACATACATCCCATGCACTACTTGCATTACATGCACGACTCGCTTTACCTTATTACATATATTACATTACATTGCATTGCATCGCATTGCGTTACATTACAATTCATTGCAATTACAATTATATACATATTATGCATTACATTACATTGCATTACATTCCATTACAGTACACTACATCACATCACATCATATCACATCACATCACATTTTTACATCACATTACACTACATTAACTTTTACATTTCCATTTTGCAGTTGCATTGACCACGCCACATGCCTGGCAAGATTGTGCCCGTGACTTCTGCATCTAACATCGCTTTGAAAAGGAACTTACGGGGGGAGGGGAGGGGGTGGGGGTTCACATTTAAAAAGAAATTAAAAAGAAACATTGTGTTGGATTCAGAGCTGCCCCTCCCTTGCTAAAGCAAGAGTAAACTCCAGCTAGCTACCGCCAGCTTTCGTGATTGCATACATTACATACTCTCTCACATCGCACCAGAAATCCGAGTGCTGGAAAAGCAGCCGACCAGCCGACCAGCTTGTGTGATCTGCTAATCCCCATCTGTACAGAGGCCTACCAGAAGGACGGGAACCTCAGAGACGAAACACAAATTGACCGACGCAGCAGGGAGGACAGATCCTCAACCACCCAAGGGTGCAAGGGGACACGACCCGCCATACATTACATACATTACATACACACCATACATACCATAGATACCATACAATACATACAATACATGCATACACTAGACTACATATGTACATTAGACTACATACATGACAATGACATATTATATTGTATATGAGAAACCCAGCAGAGCAGCGCAGGAACTTTTGCTGGTCACACCAAGTCCATTGGATTCGCTGCCTCTAAGCTCGCATGACTCTGGGGCCCCTACCGTATTGAGCCATCAGGCAGATGGCATTCAGATTCTGTCTCAGGATGGTTTGGAGTCAAGTGTGGTTCCTTCGTTTCAATCGTTTCACAGCTCCCCAAAATCTTGTTGACTCCAAACCGGCGCAGATCCGTATTGGTCTGCCCTTGTTCCTTTGCCTGATGTCTTGCACTTAAGTGGTCTTCTTCTGCCACCAGTTGAAACTCCCCAGACGCAAGCAATCTATACAAAGACTCGCATGAACCCTTGACTTTTGTAAGTGTGTCAGCCACCATAGCTTGGTGGTCCACCCACCGGACTTTGCCCGATAGGCTGTTCAAATCCTCACGAATTATCTGTACTTCAATGGCCGTTCGCTTGTCTTGGCCACCGATTGTTTCCTTGCACAGTTGGTCATAGAGACTCTTCGCGTCAACTATCGCCAAACTACCTTTAAGCCTCTCAGAAGATGAAGTAGATGCCAAAGCCAAAACCTCACTGCCGCTCAGTCGTTGGGGCCAATCTCGAATGGAGAAATCAGGGTCTCGTAGCTCCTCAAACAGGACCATCACCCACAATAAATCTCCCAGTCCACGAGATAGACTTTGGGTCTCAGCTGCCAGTGTGCTGTTTACGACACGCTGCAAGCGGCTGCTTCGCCAGCACAGAAGATTGGCGCGCACGCGCTGATTCTCCTGCAGTCCATCCTCATGGCACAAGATCATTTGACCACCTTGTGAATGCATTTGATCATTTCCAAATGAGGCATCGCTGACGACACTGAACTTCATTTTGCGAAGGGGTTGAATACGAAGTGAAAGTTTTGATGTTTTCTTCAAATTCCTAACCACCTCGTTGAGCAACAGGATGTCTTCAATCTTCAAAGTGGCTAATTTTGATGACATGAGACTTGATGGCCCTGCTGCGTCAGGTCTTCCCTCTTTTGCTAACCAGTTCAGTGCACCGCAAACTGCCCTAGCTTGACTGACTTCCTTCTCGTTGGCCTCGGCCTTTCTCTGAGATGCCCTGCCCTTTTCCAAAACCAGTTCTCCTAAACGCTCTTCAACAAACTTCTGCATGTCAATCTGAAACTCTCCATTTTGCAATTGTTTGATTCTTCTACCATTGAAAGCAGCTCCATCTGGAGTCTCCTTCAACGTCACAAACTTGCCAAAGACAAACTTCTCACGCAACTGCTGGATCTTCTCCAAATGAAAACTGTGTCCTACCATGAAGAGATCGTCTACCTCTATGGCTATCATGCCCTGCAGGATTTTCTGATCATCATACAGTTTGAAGAGACATGGATCTAAACGGCTCTGGATGTAGCCAAGGGACTTGAGGAAATCGGTGAGAGAGCGACGCCAGTGCAAAGGAGCGTCGACGAGCCCATAGCAACCTGCAACAATTTCGACCAGCTGCTCGCTTGAAACTCCATCAATTCCTTCAGCCGGCATGCGAAAATACAGCTTGCCACTCTTCCGCTCCAACTTCCCACTTTGGCAAAACGCATTCTTGAGGTCTCCAATCTGTCCTAGCATGTTCTCATTGGCGGCGATTTGAAACATGACTGCAAGATTCATTGTGTTGACAGTTGGTGAAAACTTCTCCAAGGTCAATATGTCCGGATCTAGGTCTCCACGAATGCAAAGCCTACTCTTTTTCACCGCAGGTTGACCGGGTTGCTCTGCCGGCTTGTACCTTCTGGCAAATTTGGTTGGCAAAATCCTGTCAATCTTGCCCTCCTTCTGAAGTTGAGCTTTGACCTGCCTAGATTCTTCTAAGGACAAAACTCTGACTGCGTCGGTGGACGTCACCTTCTGCCATTCCTCTGCATCTGCAATCCTCCATTCTGCCAAATCTTTCTTGCATTCCTTTCTCATGTCTACATCATCTGACCTTCTCTTTTCAGTTGCCAAAACGTTGAGAGCCTCTACCTCCTCGCCATCAGCCTTCTTCTTGAGCGCGAAGGTGGAGGTACCGGTCCACCATGTCTCGCGCTTGGCTGTAGATCCCTTCTTGATCCAGCTGTCTTCGATTGTCTCGGCTGGACGGTTGGCGAGATAATTGATTTGAGTGTATCTCTTTTCGGACAGTTTGTCCAATGCAAAAGGCAAACTGTGATCATGCTTGGGACTGAAAAGTGCTTGTCTCTTTCTCACATGATGCTTGACTGCCAGCCCCTTTTTAACATCAATTTCCCAAAAATCTTGCCGTTTTGTTGGTGCTGCACTTTGGACCAAAAAGCTTGCCCTCTCTCGGGCCCTTTCCAGTTCAAACTCCTCTGCTTCGCGCTCTTCTACCCAGCAAAACTCAGTGAAATAGGGATCAGTACGATTTTCTCTGATCCTCCATCCTCTGACTGGCGCTGGAGCGTTGGATGGAATCCCATCCAACCTATTGGCACTCGCTGTGGATTCCTGCACCCTTTCCATAAAAGTTGGGTCTTGAACCTGCTCCAGAGTGGGCTGGTGATCTGGTACTTGAGGAGCAGACTGGGACTGTGGAGTATTGCCGGAGTCTGTGGACTCCATGCTCTGTCCGCTGCCAATTGACTGAACATCACTGCGCTCAAACTCTGGCTCTTCAATGGTTTGCCTTGAAGAGTTGGAAGCTCTCCTCACTTCTGCCGCTGGCGGATCATCTTCCGCAATGCTTGGGGAGTAGCCTTCTTCCTCTGCTATGTCGTTGAACCTGACCTGTCTCGGGGCATGATCCTCATCTTGATGTTCTGGCTGATCTTCCAGCATCCCCTCTTCATCCTCAGGAAAAGGTTCGTTGGTTATGTCTTTGTAGCCTGCCCTCTTGGAGGTCTTCTTGTATTCTTCAACTAAATCCTTGCACTCCCTAAGCACAAGTTCAACGCCGTGCTTCTCCATGTTTGTAGCCAAGCGGCACTGTTCTTTTGCAACCTTCCAAAGCTCGCCCCAAACTGTGATCCAAAGGTTTGCACCATCTGGTGCTACCACCGTTCCAGGGCCGACCCATGTAGGTTTGTTCTTGGCGTGGTCAATGTCCACGACTCCACCGACCTTTCGCTTTCTTTGGCGGTGGACCCGGTACACATACACAAAATCTCCAGGTTGGTATTCAACAGATGTTCGGCTGCGAGCCCTCAAAGCTTTGGAAACTGCTGCTCGAGCGTTGTGCTCGACAAAGGCTTTCTGGGCCAATCTTCGCATCTCCCATATTCGTTCGACATCATCTACCAAGGCACCTGCCACCAGCGTTGGGTCAATCACCTCGTCTGAAGTGATCTCGGTGGGCGCCCTTGGCCATTGGCCAATTTGTCGTTGAATGGGAGAAAATCCTGATCTGTTGGAAAACCTGTTCTTCACACTTTCAACCTCTTGCATCAGTCTCCTCAATTCCGCCTCCTCAGTGACCACCATCTCAGCTCTGGCCTTCTCCAGCAGCTCTTTAAAGTGTGCACCATGGCGCTCTGTCTTGCCATTCTGCCAAGGCGCCCGAGCCCCTATCTGGTAAATCACAATTCCATTTGCGGAGGCTGTTTTCACAAACTCGGAGGCAAACTCCTTTCCTGCGTCGCAGACGACTACTTCAGGAAGACCAAAAACTCTTGCCCAACAGCTCCACAGTGTCCGCCACACCGTGCCTGGCTCTTTGTTGGGAATCAGTTCCACCATTTGGTAGTTAGTTCCCCAGTCCAAAATGGACAATGCTGGCACCTGTTGCTGTCCTCCAACTGCAGGTATGTAAATCAGGTCAACTCCAATGACTTTGTTTGGCTGAAAGGTCTTTGGGATGGTGGCTGGTCTCACTGCTTTTGTTCGAGACCTGGCCTCACAGCTTTCACACCGAAAGTTCTTTGCCGCCCAACGCACCACCTCACTTCGCACTCTTGCTGCCTTCATGAAGCGGATAAACTCTGCCAAAGGTGGATGACCAATGCCCTTGTGAAGCTTTAGGACCGACGCCTGTTCTTGAGCGCTCAGACTGTCGGCTCCTCCCTTCTCTCCGATAACCTCCTCAGGCTTGCTGTCTTCTGGGGCAAGCTCTTCTTCATCTTCTACCTCATCGTCCTCTGCGGCAAAGACATAGTTGCTGGCGCATTGCCAACCTCCATCCTGACGCATCTGTTCTTTGATTCCTTTGATGATTTGCTCACAGAACTCCTTTGGATAGACTTGCGCCTTCCGTGCCTTTCCACCAAGCAGTGCCTCATGCTGATGGTGTCCTGGACATCTTCGACTCATTCTTCTGGAAATGCATGAGGAGTTGGTCATGATACCAGTGGGCTTCAAGTTGAAGCCTTCATCGCCTACTGCCATACCATAGGCGCACATGTCACACCTTGTTCTCCATATCCCTGGCATCCTCACCAACCTTTCAATGCAAGCTTCTGCCCAAGACCGAGCTCCATCCGGCTGTTCAAACACGAAGTACCTTCCATTCCTATGCTGCCAATCTGCCACCAATGCCGCCGTCTCTAAGTCGTCCAGCCCAACCTCGATGAGCTGAACCGCCTTGGCCCATTCCATCTTGAAAAGGTTTAGGGCTTGCATGACCGTAAATGCCTTGCAAGGCGGGCAGACGATGACAAGCTCCGGTTTCTCTTCCCGAAGTCGCCTCCACATTCTGCGGCGACCCTCTGCTGTTGAAAGATCCCATCCAGTCTCCAAATCGAAACTGGTTCCTTGCTTCAATCCTCGCTCTCCTGCCAACTTCGCCACTCTTGGCGGGGAAAACACTTCTGAAACAATTGCATCTTTCAACCCTTTTCCATAAAGCGCTTCAACGCCCTTGTTCAAGAGCCTCCTATCCTTGTTGGAAAAACTCGTGCCCTTGTCATCTTCAAAGAAACTTTCCAAGCTACTCCTACTTGACAGGGACAACCAGACTCGCATCCTCTCTTCAGTTCTTAGTGGCACCAAACCTTCTTCTCTCTGCCAATGTCCATCCCTGTGAACCTCATAAAACCAAGCGCCACAAAGAACTCCACCGTGGCCATGCTGTGTCTGACCTTGAATTCGCCTGGCTGATCGCCTGGCTGCAGTTGTGGCGACTTCGCACCACTCACCGCCGTTCTCAAACTGTTTCACAGATAGCCATCGCTCTCCACCTCGATGACATCCTCCGTCATGTGTGGAGCGCTCCTCGTCTTTGCTGATGCCTTCATCACCGGCACCCCATGAATGGCAGGGTCGTAGTCCTGATTGTTGATCAATGCCTCTGCCACCAGGTCCACCGCACTCAAAGATGGTGTTGCCGGTGGTGCTGCCGATGTTGCACCTTGTCTCATCATCTGGCTGTGCAGGATGTACTCGTGCATTTCGTGGCTCCTCTTCTGTTCTTCCAACAGCATCCTCTGAAGCTGCTGAATCTGTGCCTGCTGTTGCCCCATCGACTGCATAGCTGGATGAAGCGCCTGGAACTGTGTCTCCCAGCCGGCCATGGACTCCATCTCCGCATCTTGAGGCGGTTGACTCAAGAGGCCCCCTTTCTTTGCCAACTCCTTGTTCTCCTTGAGCTGTTTCTTGATCTCTGCTGCAGGTAGATGATTCGGCCATCGTGCCAGGCAATCCCGACACACTATGTAGGAGCTGGAAGCGTTGCCCCCACCCTTCAATCTTTCCTTTGGGTGAACGCAATTGCTGATTGGAGTCTTGGCTACCTCCTTTGACTTGAGAGGCGGAAGCATCTTCGCACCCGCAATGATGGCCGCATACACGTCCTCCAATGTCTCCTCCTTGTGTTCCAAGTGTGAGCCAGGCGAGTGCTGCGACGGTGGAAACCACTCGTCCACGATTTGCTGGAGACTTGCGAAGACCAGCAACATGCCCAGCTTGTCGAGGAGAATGCGCCACCCTCGAATTGCTCTCTTTGAGTGATGTGTTGGCGGTGCCACATCCATTGGGACTTCCATCGGATCCACCATGGAGGCGCCAAGGTTCCCGATCTTCTTGAGCTGATTCAGCAACGAAGATGCCATTGGTCGCTGCTGGAGAGCTGAACACTTCGGGATTCGAATTGGTTCTCTTTGAACTAGATTGAGCCATATCTCCGGCGCCATGCAGTGACTTTTCATGCCAAGCCCAAGCACTGTGAGGTACTTGAAAATCTTCAGCTACACATCCAGGTACATTCATCGGCATGACAAACTTGCCATTCTCAAATTCCATGACATCAATTGTGACATGTCCACTTGCCAGCTCATGCATTGGTATCTCTACTTGGTATTCTTTGAGTTTCATCTTCATGGTTTCAAGATCGATGACTGCCTTGAGACCAGTGAGCATTCGAATTGGAAGTAAGAAAGGAACTTCGCCATCTACCACTGTTGTTTCCAAAAGCCCATTGACACCCGCAATGCCGACAGGGATGAGTGCAACTCCTAAACATGTAGCATGACCTCCAACACCTTTTGCCGCTGAAGTTTTGGGAATCCATTTCACCTTGATACCTCTCTCCTTCAACTTCACCTCAAGCCTTTCAAGTGCCGGCTTTCCAATCAAACCACCTTCTGCTGCTGTATCTACCACCGCATGATGTGCACATGTTGAAATCCCGCAAAAACTCTGCTCACCCTTGTACTCTCCACGGGACCGCGCATCTTGGGTCTTTGCCTTGCTTGCTATGAACTCTCGAAGCCAAAACGCCGAACCGCCCTCTTGACGGTTGAGCGGCTCCGATGCAACAAAGAACCCTGACCTTGACGTTGAGACCGATGACACTGAGGCTCCTTGGTTGGACGGAGCAGAAGATCGGCCTTTGACGTCACTCTTGCACTCCTTGCTCCAATGGCCGACTTGGCCGCATTTGAAGCAGCGGCTGCGCATTTTCAACTGCTCGGTGTGGACTTTCTGCCAGCGCCCACCACTCTTGCCCTTGCCCTTTGGCGTTGCGCCCTTTCCATAGAAGCCACGTCCCTTCTTCTGGTCCTTGATGGCCTGCCTGATCTCCTTGTAGGAGGCAAGAGCAAGAGAGGACATCCTCTTCATCCATGATCTCGCTGAGATCTCCTTCTTGGACATAGACGTAGTTTTCTGCATCTGGTCCGTCATCCTCGAACCAGTCCACTTCGGCATCGTCAAAGAGGCCAACCTGTTCATTCTCAGGAGCGTCCACAAGGTAGGCCGTCTTGCCCTTCTTCTTCACAACCTTGTCCAACTTTCGCAACGCCTTGACGGCTGAAAGACGATCATATCGTCCATCTGACCAAACCAAAAACCTCTGTTCCTGTGCCTCGCTCAAAGCAGCCTGACGGTACAAAATGTACCCCTGTGCAGACTCAGGCAAGTCAACTCCCTCTTTCTTTAGCCGGTTGAATGCCCTATCCATTCTGGCTATGTATTCTCCAAAACCTTCTCTATTCTGCCTCTGCTGCCCATATACTGCTTGTTCAAAGGCTCGTGGCAAGGAGACTTCCAAGTGAGGTTGGAAAAACTCCCGAAGACGGGACATGATGTTTCTCATTCCATCTTCACATGCTATCTCTTCAAAAGGCATTTCTTCCACAGCCATACGGGCCGTGCCACTCAGCACTCTAAGGAGTTTGACCCCTCTCTTGCCTCTAGGAACGTCAGTTTCATATTCCCAAAGACGCACATTCCTCTCCCACAAAGCGAATGATGTCTCTGGCTCTTCACCGTCATAACTGGGTGGTGGCTCCCTATCACGGAACCCAAACCCAGCCCCCTCAGCCTGTCCTCCTGCAGCCACTTGCACCTGCGAAGATGCCATCGCGCTAGCAGGATCAGGAGGCGCCGCATCATCGGGCGTTGGCATTGATCCACGTACTTATGGTCCTTGTCCTTTGCCTGCAGCTTGCCCCGGTCGGCCCAGGGCTCACCGCTACCACTGAGAAACCCAGCAGAGCAGCGCAGGAACTTTTGCTGGTCACACCAAGTCCATTGGATTCGCTGCCTCTAAGCTCGCATGACTCTGGGGCCCCTACCGTATTGAGCCATCAGGCAGATGGCATTCAGATTCTGTCTCAGGATGGTTTGGAGTCAAGTGTGGTTCCTTCGTTTCAATCGTTTCACAGTATACATGATCATGATCATACATGACCAGAACATACACTGGATTACATAGATTAAATTAGATTAGAATAGATTAATTACCCATCTATCCATCTCTAACTCTTACTACCTCTTCCTGCCAAGCGTAAGTCTCTGCCATCCTCTGCCATCAGTGCGGCTGAGGCCTCGAGTTTGCTGTCGCACGTCTCCCTGGCAAGTGCCAAGGCCCTGGATGATGCCCTGCGCGCTTGCACCTGCGACAGGAGATGTCTTTCGCTCATGTCCACATTGTCCACTGTTAGCGGAGAAAAAAGGAGAAAACATATAGAAGTGGAGAAAGGTGCAGAAAGGTGCAGAAAGGTGCAGAAAGGTGAACAGAGGTAGAACAACATGTGATTTGGCCAAGGGCAAGCAAATGTAAGCAAACTAGATTTAGCTCGATGTCGCGAGATCTTCCTGCACAAATTGATACAATACAAATCAATACAGTACATACAAACTGTCTCAATCTGAAAGAATGGAAACTGTGATGATTCGTCTGCATATGTCTGTATGCAGCCTGATCAGCCTGGAAGAAGCCCCTAGGTCACGCCTGGGATCCCTTCATGAGGTTGTAGGCCTTCGCCGCCTCGCCTTAGACATCCCAAGACCGATGCTGATGAAAAGGTCACCAGGTATGACTCGGTGTGACCAGGTCAATGAGGAGATACACTGCTGTTGATTCCTAAGCACTGCGACGACAACATCAAAGGATATCAAAGGCTCAAGGGCTCGAAATGGTGCAGCCACTAGGAAGCCACGAATCAACCAGGTGGTGCGAGAATGTCCGAGAGCCGCATTGAAAATCTTGGCCAACGAGCTCTGTTGCACAACACTGAGCATCCATGCAAGCTGCTGACGCGGCGTTACGCGCATCTCCCATGCTCTCATAGAGAGTGCAGGCCTGCGCACCACATGCGCATTCTTGCCAAGGATGATTGCGACGCAACTAACTATGCCGAACAATGGTTTGCTCCACTTTCTGTCAAATGAAGCGTCACAAGAAGTCTGAAGGAGGATGAGGGAAGTCAGATTTCACACGATTAGCAGAATATCTTGGATAATGTGTGTGTGTGCGGGTGTCGTTGTGCCAGTGAAGCCTTCGGCATACCAGTCCAATTGTTGCGGCATTCTTTACCTTCTTCACAGCAAGAGCATGCCACAACTGATCACTGATCACAACCCGAAATTCCAATCGCATCCAAACATGTTTCCACTGGTGGAACAAATCTGTTTATGGTACCTTCTCACCAGGGATTTCCCAATATCTGTCATGTCTATATTCCATTTCTGTCTATCATATTATTCATAATCCGTCATATTTTATCCGCATCGGCTGCGCCCGGCATTGCCTGCTCAGCTGCTTCCACGGCTTGCACGGCCTGCGACGAATGCGGCGAAGCAGGGCTAGCCACAATCATCCGTGCAAAAAGGATACAATTACAAAAAGCAGCTTGATCACTTGATCCAGCAATGATCATAAATTTGGACAAGGGCTTGTGATCTTAGTGAACTAGCCTGTTTGAAAGTCATTATATATATATATATAATTGCTCGCCTCAATCAGCTTAAAACGGATCAGCCCGCAAAGAAAAGGCCGCTGGCATTCTCAGAGTGTATTGGGCAGGCATGTAGCTATCCAAAGGTGTATCCCTCGGCCAGTCACCAGCGTCTGCTTGCCTCTGTGGCCGCTACTCGTGCCTACAGCGGAGAGCAAGAGGTGTGCTGCTCCGGTTTTGGACGATTTCGGGCATGTAGTGCTTGAAAGTTGTGAATCCCGTAGGCTTAGACCCTCTGTCTCTCAAGGATGTCCCTTGTTGATTCTTTCTGAAATGCTGCAAGATGATCGTGCGTCTCATCGACCAAGTGGAAATATGATGAAATATTGGAAATAGATAGAAATAGTGGAAATGTCATGCAAACGTATACTGTAAACGACTTTCAAGGATGTGGAGTTAAATGTATCTTGCTGATTTATATATTTTATATGTGTATATATATATAAGTTTGCACATCATGTAAATCAATGTAAATCATGTAAATTCTGGGATGCCAGCAGAATCCGCAAGCCACAGCATGCAACAAAAGTGTTGAGTTGTTGCGCCTTGGCGCAGCTGAGAAGTGCTCCAGCGAGCTCCCTTGCCTGATGGATTGGGAGCACTTAAGAGGGAATTGGACGAATCATCAGAGGTCTAACAGGAAGACCGGATAAGACCGGAGATCTATCTACCTATCCTATCCTATCCTATCCTATCCTATCCGGTCAATCAATCTATCTATCGGGAATTATCAGGAGGTTCGTGGGAGGTTCGTGAGAGGTTCCTGGGAGGTTCCTGGGAGGTTCCTGGGAGGTTCCTGGGAGGTTCCTCGGGTTCCTGCTGTTGAACTGCTCTCATTCAAAGATCGGCACATTTTCACCTCACCCAGCCCCAGGCACCTCAACTCTCATCGAGGGCTTCTTTGCAATGTGCTGTTTCACGTGCTCTGTGGTAATCGCCACCTTTTTGCGACACGTCGCGACACATGACAAGTATGCCACTCTGTCGCAATCCCTATGCCGCATCATGCCCGTGTCATGCCGTGAGCTTTTTTCCCACATTTTGGAGACCTCCGTCATGACCAATAAACAACTCTAAGTTTCAAGCCAAAGAGTAGCGGCCCTGTGCGTAATAGATATCCTAAGCTGTGGAGAGCAAATATAATTCAGTGACATTGCTGCGTTGAAAACCCGATATGGTCCTCCGTGCATGTGGCACACGCGAAGGGACACACAAATATGCAAACAAAAAATAACAAAAACATAATTATACATATGTTCATTGCATTGCATTTCATTGCATTGCCCTGCGTCACGTTACATTTCAATACATTGACATTCATTGTCACATATACATATATATTATATTCATTTATATTCCATTACGTTCCATTACATTGAAGGAAATGTTGCGCCATGCTAAACCGCGCAATACTCTGCAGACCAAGTTAAACATTGCACTACAGTGAACATCACATCACTAAACATGACATTGTCATGACATTATTGCTTGCATTCCGCTGCATTACATTACAGTACAGAACAGAACAGTAAACTACATCGCGGTAATTGTATTTCATATGCATACTTCATATATATATATATATTATGTACTCACACGTGTATGGATATTATTATACACACATATAATCACATAATATATATATATATTATATTCATATGTGTCATTATCATGAATATCAAGCGCCAACCTGTCATGGACTGCAGATGACTGGAGGCATGCGGAACAGTCCGAAACATGCCAAGGCTCCACTAACGAGCGGTATGCCATACCTATCCGAAATCTGCTGGCTCCTTCCTGCATGCCGGGGCAAGTCCGAAACTTCTGTTTTGAACAGGGGTAGGGGTGATTTGCAAAAAGCATGGGCAATCAAGGTATCAGCAAGACATAGTCATGAGAGCATGAAATTGGATGTGGACGGAGAAACCTATGGGAAAGCTGCTGGGAAATCAGACATTGCAGCCCTGAAAACTAATTACAACCACTGACAGAACATAGAAGTCAGTGGAAAACCAAAGGTGTTGCACAAGAAATTTGCGAAATCGGAGCACTAACAATGTCAAACTGATATAGAGTATGCGGGGAAATCTGAAATCGGACACGTAGACACGTAAGAAAAAACTACTGACGGAGCCAAATATACAATTTGGATAAATTTGGTATATATAATTGGAATGATCTATGGGGTTGGTGAAACGGTGAAGGCGTTTGTGAAAGTCCACATAATTAAGTCCACAAATATCCACAAACTGGAAATGTATAGAAATATTAGAAATGGAGGCCCTGCAGGAGCAAAAGTTCCGTGCCTTTGATTCCCCTGTTCTTGCCACAGTGGCGTTCGTGGATTCAATCTGATCCCTGTCCCCCGCCCTCGCCAAACAAGCGCCTGTTGCAAGATCAACCTCGACAGCATGCATAAAGCAGAGGCAACAGTGCTAAAATGCCAAAAAAATAAATAGATAAATATATATATATAATTATATAATATTATATAATTATATAATATATATATATATATCCGTGTGTGTGACTGGAACGACTTCAGTATTGCAAAAGTTAGAAGGTGTGGCATCATTTTTGCACAAACTCTACAAATCTCTACAAGTCAAATGTCATCACTACATGGGTGCAATGCCACGAAGCAAGGTAGTGTCAGGCCAAGCAATCTAGAAGCACAAGCACTGCTGAACGAGATGTTGCTGAGCCAAGAAATTAGTCTGCACCAGCTCCAGCAAAATGAGCCTTTAATGACTATAATATATATATAATTATATAATATATATATATAAGATATTAAAAGATTACAGATGTTGTACTGCGGCCGTGTCACAGCCGAAGAGGATACTGTTTGACTCGAGGCACGTTACTGAGTCGAACGCAACGCTTGTTGAGCCATAGGTAGAGCTTCGGCATGGCTGTCCTGTGATGTGAGGAGACGTGGCACAAGAAAAAAGACGGTCCCTGCAGTGGTCTGAGTCATGTGGTTGATCTCTTTCCTGAATGAAGTCGGCTGATAACAGTGATTCCCACCAAAATGTTCTCGCAAAAACTTCCACAACAGCTCCCACAGCTGACACATCTTATTCCATTTGTGGTAAGCCCATCCTACACCCTCAAGCCTGACATTAGCATCATTAGCAAACATGAGCCGCATGCCAACACAGCTGCAGCCACTGCCTATTGTAAGGCCATATGCTTGGACAATTCTGGATAACCATGGGCAACTGGACAAATCTACACGCTTGTTCAGAATTCTTAATTTTCTTAAGACTCACGATATCTCACGGCCATCTCGAGCAGTCCATGGCCAAGTAGATCTCGGCGGAAGCAAGTTGCATGATCGCCTCAAAGGCGTGAAGAGGACTTCAGTGATTCAGTCTTCATTCCCCGATGAAGGTGCTGATGTTGAAAGCATAGAAGACTCATCGGAACCAATTGCTGGTTGAGGTTGAGTCAGCTGCGGCATCTTTGAATGAGCAAGTGAGTGATCGGCAAATGATGGAGCGAATGGTTCAATGAGTAGATGATCCAATGACGAATGGGTGAGTTGTGGCAGTAGAAGGAGCGAAATACTATGGACTAAGCTGAGCCGCCCATCTCTACGATGGATTGACAGTTGAAGCATGTTGAAGCATGTTGAAGCATGTTGAACGATGTGAACCTGGTGACCTAGCAGACCTTTGCACTTCCAGAATCTTCCAGAGTTGCCAACAGGTTTGACAAGCCTGGATCATGCCACACATGCGACGCCTGTGCCACCAATTCTGCATTCTTCTCGAAGGCAAAGGCCTCACTTCTGGCCGCCTCAAGTCGCACTGTGGCCCCATGGCAACATATGGCAACCATGCATTGTATATATTGTATATAGCAACCATGGATCATTGCTAAATTTTCGAAATATGGCAATATTATGCAAGATTGTGCATGTCTGGAGAGGGATAGAAACAGGCAATCAAGCTCTGAGACCGGATTGTCCAGCTGAAAGCACTCAAATGGAATGGAAGAGTTGAAAATATCCTAGAAAGGGTTGAGGGTTGGAAACGAGAAATCTGCTATATAGCAAAATAGGCAAAGCATTGGATTCATATAGATTCATTAGATGTAGCTTGCAGAGCCCATCTATTGAATCGTCCTGGGGGTGGCCCATGAAGTCCCTGCACAATGAAGTTTGATGAAGTTTTCATAGATTTTCATGGTTTGTTTTCATGTCATGTTCCAGAGATCAAGACTGCTCGCTGTTGTTTTTTCAGCGCCGGGATGCTGAGCTTTGCCTTGCTTTTTGTTTCTGTTTTGTTGGTCTTGATGATCTTGATGAGGCTGCATTGATGTTTTCGTTCTTTCTTGTGTCAGTGCTTGCTTGTTGCCAAAAGAATATATATATATATAATTAATTATAATTATATATATTTAATAACCCCCCCAAAAAAAAACTAGCAAACATGAGGAGTTGATTGCATTTGTCCTTTCTTGACGAGGTGGCCTTATCTCTTGTGGCTCCTTGCAGCTTCTGCCTGTGTTTGTTTCTGAACGACGTTAAAAAGCAGTTGTTTCAGGGTTTTCTGTTCATTAAGGGTGCTCCTGCTTCCAGACTTTGCCTTTTGATCCTTTTGTATCTTGTTGTTTCTTATTTTTTGTGACTTCATTTTGTCTCTTGACGAGGCTGCATTCAATCTGGAGATGCAGGCATATTAAACAAATGAAATCATTTGCAGATGTCTGCAGTGTCTTGTCACACCCTACAATACACAAAAACGCGAGGCCTATACCTTAGGAGAATACCTTAGGACCTTGGGTCCTTCTGGCCCCATCTGCACCTGAATCGTGTTTCGTTGCTTGCTCCCGATACTTATATCCATACAGCTCCCGCCACTTTTTACCCCTTCATTGTCATGGGCACCTAAATTCCCATACTGGAAGTAATTCAATTGCAGCAAGAATATAAAGAAGGATCATGAAAATAGCACCCCACATCAAGGAACATGTTGTGTTTCCTACTCACAACCCGAACGGCATGCTGTCCACAATTACGTAGTTTCCTGAGTTCTGGTCCTTCAGAGCCTTCTCCAGCACCTAGCCGTGGGGATTTGGACGAAGTATTCATAGGGATGGACCGGGATGGATAGTAAATGTGTGGAAGGCGAGGTGTATTTTACAGTTTTTGACTTGAACGCCAAGAAGCCTTTCATATCGCTTCATATCGCTTGTGCGCACAATCTTTGGGGCCACAAGACCATCAGGAGTGAATGCTTCAAATGGATTGAAATTGCTCAAAATCCCGCAGTGTGACCATGGCCTCGATGTCCGGAGTCTCAGAGATGCCTGTAGCTGCCCTGACTTGTGCCTAGCAACAGAGGCATCGGAGGAGGCAAGTTTGTGTCTTTGGAAAACCTGCTGGAATGGAACATGGGTAGGATATAGATGATACTTCTTTTTTTTGCTGGGGCTTGTCAAAGGATTTGCCCCACCACAATGCCCGCATCGTGGCGCAGGCAAGGGTTGCCAGGTGAACGTAAAAGGAAATGACAAACTTAGCGGCTGGGTTTTACAAAATGATCAAAATGGGTGAGACACTCTCATAAACTATATACAGTGCTTACACTCAGATCGACTCAACGGGAAAAACTGATACCAAGAAGTTTTTCCCAAATTCCACCACTGTTTCACGCAGAATACCCTTGTTCTTTGCAACTACGCTTTGCCAACAACTTTCAAGCGGGGGTACCACAACTTGTAGAACAAACGGCCGGCCCAGTCTTACTTGGACACTGGAATCATCAACAAAATTGATACATACTGTATGAAAACCGTTAACCAACTTCCACGTCCATCTGTAGATACAGTAGTTCTGTGGTTGGCATATGCTGGCCACTGGCTGTGAGAGGTGTGCCTCATATCGCCTTCTTTGAAATGTGCTTCGGTGTGACAGGTTTGACAAGTTCGACAGGTTCAGATCACATCAGGTCACAAGCCGGAAATGATCCTGGCGCGCCTTGGTGACCACGCGCAGAGCGTCTGCTTCCCTCGCTGCATCTCCATCCGCAGCAGCTTGCCTTTGGACCTCAGGCAGGTTCCAAAGTGGTTCCAATGGTCGTGCACACAAGACAATTCAAAACACGCCTGTGACGGTCCGATCCCGTAGATTTTCTTGATATGTTGAAATATCTCTATACATCTCTCTCTTATTACGTCTTATTATACCATATTATTATTATATATATAAATATATAATATATAAGTTATATTAATATCTCATATGTTCTTAGATTTCTTCGGGACTGCCTTTTGTCCTTCTTTGTCCGCGTTCCGTTCGTGCTTCGCAAATGGGAAGTTGACCTCTTCCGCAAGCAGCTCTGCCTCCTCAAAGTGCCCATCCTTTGCGGTTGCGGTGTGCATCGGGCTTAGGGCCAACAAAATCCAGCATATCACCCACTCCTAGTCTCATTATGTCTCATTTATCTCATTGATCTTATTGACTTCCTTCAATAGTCTTTCAATATTAAGTAATTCCGTATTTTTGGAAACGTGGCTAGAACATGCTAGAACGACGTGACACACCTATTGCGAGCCAGCGACATCTAGAACGTCAGTCGCATCATCCAAATCATCCTTCGACCTTGGTCACTTCCAGAAGCCGCCAGTAATTGCCAGTATGAACCGGAAAGTCGAAAATCTTGCGACGGTGCCATGACTTGTGGAACGTCAGCAAAAGCCACTGATTCTGACTGATTCTTGGAGCTCGGCACGATCCTGTCTGGCACCTCACCAGCATCAATCGCTGGTGTATGCGCGGCTGGCGCAGCCGCGCATACAGGTGCCGGTGAAGGTGCCGGCGCAGGTGCGGGTGCAGGTGCAGGCACTGGAGTCGCGATAGGCTCAACCTGTTTCGAAGTATTTCGAAGCGCGCTGTCAGCCTTGTACTGATGAGAACAAGAGTTGACATATGGTGATTAGTCCCTTGCTACCGAGGATAGAACTTGAGAGGGGGAACACGAAAGGTAGGTAAGCAAGAAAGGAACCGAAGAAAAAATGAAGGGGACAGGGGAGGGAAAAATACATAAAGTGGAGTCTGGTAAAAGCGACGCGGCCATTTTCTTTCCAAAAATATGAAGGGGAGTCTGCTAAAAGCGACTGAAAGGCTTCGGCGATGTGGTTGGGGTTGGTGGTGGTTGTGGTGTTGGTGGTGTTGGTGGTGCTGGTGGTGTTGGTGTTGTTGGTGGTGGTAGTGTTTCTGGTGTTGTTAGTGTTGTTAGTGTTGTTGGTGTGGTTGGGTTTGTTGGTGGTGTTGGTGTTGTTGGTCGTGTTGTTGGTGTTGGTATTGTTTGTGTTCCTGTTGTTGTCGTTGTTGTTGTTGTTGCTGCTGCTGCTGATGGTATTGTTGGTGTTGTTGTTGTTGTTGCTGTTGTTGAGTTGTTGTTGTTGTTGTTGTTGTTGTTGTTGTTGTGTGTTGTTGTTGTTTTGTGTTGTTGTGTGTTGTTGTGTGTTGTTGTGTGTTGTTGTGTGTGTGTTGTTGTGTGTGGTTGTGTGTGTGTGGTTGTGTGTGTGTTGTGGTGTGTTGTTGTGTGTTGTTTGTGTTGTTGTGTGTGTTGTTGTGTGTTGTTGTGTGTTGTTGTGTGTTGTTGTGTGTTGTTGTTGCGTTGTTGCGTTGTTGTGTGTTGCGTGTGTTGTTGTGTGTTGTTGTGTGTTGTTGTGTGTTGTTGTGTGTTGTTGTGTGTGTGTTGTGGTGTGTTGTGGTGTGTTGTGGTGTGTTGTTTGTGTTGTTGTGTGTGTTGTTGTGTGTTGTTGTGTGTTGTTGTGTGTTGTTGTGTGTTGTTGTGTGTTGTTGTGTGTGTTGTGTGTGTTGTGTGTGTTGTGTGTGTGTGTTGTGTGTTTTGTGTGTTGTGTGTTGTGCGTTGTGCGTTGTGCGTTGTGCGTTGTGCATTGTGCGTTGTGCGTTGTGCATTGTGCGTTGTGTGTTGGTGTTGTTGTTGTTGTTGTCGTCGTTGTTGTTGTTGTTGCTGTTGCTGTTGGTGTTGTTGTTGTTGGTGTTGGTGTTACCCCTGCAGCGTTTTTGCTCGGTTCCGTAGTGGCCGAAAATCGTCAAATCGGTGGTGTTTTCGCGTGTTTTTGCAACTCTCGGAGCAAAAAACACAGTAAATACCGATGTTTTTGGCGGGTCGGAAGCCCAAAACCACAGTATTTACGATGTTTTTTGCCTCTGGTAGTAAAAAGCACGGTATTTACAGTGTTTTTTGGCCAGCACCTAGCAAAAACACTGGTATTTACGGAGGTTTCACCATGTAGCAAAATGTGGTTTCTTGATCCGAAAAGAACAAAAATACTGTAAATTACAATGTTTTGAGTCTGCTCTTAGGGTGCGTGGGAGGTGTGGAGGGGGGGGGGAACTAAAATGACTAGCAATCTCCTGAAGAATCAGGTAACGGGGCTGGCCGCCCTCCCCTTTACTTCGTAAAGTAAAACTCAAGGTAGCCCCTCTGGAGCTACCTTTCGTGACAAGCGTTTTCGTTCAAAAAGATGCTCACAGCTCAAGCAACACGAAGACTACTACATGTTGATGTCCCACTGAAGTCTACTACAATGTAAATGCCTGAGGCCATGGTGCATCTCTCTCGGTGTTTAAGATGATTACTAAATATTACCAGCACACATGTATGTATGACACATATCACATATTATCACATGTGATCTTGTGTAACCTTGTGTGCATTTGCATGCATGTTCTGTCTGCGGGCGGAAGAAAGACCTTGGGCAGCCACCCTGCCACCACCTGCCACCCCTCACACGGCCTTTCTGCCACCAAGCCCTCGGACAGGTGCGGCACCTTTTCGGACATAGCATTCGGTGGACAAAAGATGGTGCACAAAACGCAGTCTTAAAATTCCTGCGTGCAAAATCCTGCAAATAGCTGAAAAAAACATTGGGAGAAACTGAAGTCTCAACACTTATTGAACTTCTGACAAAAACACAACCCTACTATACATTGTAAGCAACGTGCAAATATGTGCAATGCCGACGCTGTGATGTGAGTGCCAGGCTTCTAGGTGGTTCCTCGTTTTTGACTCGAGGAGCTTCAGCAGGTGCCTCAAAGGAAGTCATGCCAGAAGGAATGCGACTGAACTCCATCAACACCATGAAACAGCCCGCACAAAAATATCAGAAGAATTCAATTGTATCAAAAGTATTCAAGAGTAGATACAATATATATTATATGAATATGCTTGACACAAAACCAGGGAATATGTAGTTCCAGTTTGCGTGTCAAAAGTGTTTTTTTTGCATGGTGATGGTTGGTGCTCTGCTATGCTCTGCTCAGGTTCATCTATATAGGTGACTGCGTGGGCCAGCAACAATCACTTGAATGCTGAAGAACCCGTTCAGTCAGTTCTGTCAACTCTGCTTATCCCACTTCCTATCGTTCAAGACATTTTCAGTGATCACCGGCCATAAATTCTATTAATTATATAATATATGATTATTATTTAAATATTAGTTATAACAAATATATATATATATATTCATATAATTGGTTTTAATTATAACATATTATAACAATTTATAACATAAATCACAAGTGAAACCGCTACGCAGTGCACTTCTCGTTGTCTTGGAGGCCTTGGGCACTTCAGGTTCTGCCTTGGCGGGCGCTCCACTGCCTGGGCGGAGTCACAACATGTCTCACCATGTCACCCGCGGCCCCACCGTTTTTCTAAAGCATCTGCCTGTGGAAAGAAAACGCAAGTAAATTTTATAGTAGAATTGAATAGTCAAAACATGTCAAAGCGAAAGGAAAGGACCTCTCCATTTGGACCATGTTACCCTGCAAACCGAAAAAAGGCAAACATCCTACAAACGCTGGAAGGGCCTTTCAAACCTAAACGCATCAGAAACACATTGGTCAAAAAATCCCATGCGAGTCGGAGGGTCGCCCAACACAATACCAACAGTTCAGTCATCTGGTTGGAAAATGTTGGGCAATACTAGTTCAAAATAGTTCGCAAGTCTAGTCTTGTGAGCACCAAGACGCTGATCAATGGTGGGAGCTCATCATCGTCGTCGCTCTCGTCGTCTGACACGCCCTTGCCCCCATGCGGTTTTGAGCTGGAAGGGAACACCGAAGAACCCTTGGCCTTCGGCTAGAAGGCTGCACACACACACACATTCACACACATGACGGATTAATTTCAAAGACCATTGTTAAAATAGCGTTTCGGGAGACCTTTTTTGCCCAACAAAGTCCTTGGGTCTATTCCATGGGTTGCTTGCTCTGACTCAAATTCGTAGATACGAAAGGCTTTCACAGTCTTATCAAAAGCCTGTACAGTATGTTTCCAAGATAGTTGCCACACACGAGTGAGGAAATGTCAGCTTCTGATGCCATGATCGGAACTACTTAGTGCCATTTGATGTGAAAGTAGAATATGTTTCGAAAGAAGCAGGCCCTCTCCCCTTGCCAACCCTGCAAAGCAGTACGAACTTATTGGTGCTGTTGTCACAATTTACATCCCCCTTCGGGAAGCAGGGGGTACGTGGGAGACCCTGATTTTATAGTGCATAAAACGGGGGTACCCAGCCCCCCCCCCCGGGGCACCTCTAAAAAATCAAAAAAACACCCATACCACCATGATTAATGATCTATAAAATCAAAAAATATATAAACCCACAAAAAACACCCAGAAAACACGATTGTCTATAAAATCAGGGTCACCAACGTACCGTTGGACAGCCTTTTAAGGCAACATAACAGGTCTATAAAATCAAAAGTTCACTGACCCCCACTTTGAGGACTCAGTTTCTGGATCCAAAAGACGCAAATGTTGGAGGGCAACCTTTTGATTTTATAGTGGTTATTGTTGTCCCTTTACTTTTTGATTTTATAGATAGATCTGTTCCCAGATTATAGTCTTATTATGTCTTAGTATGTCTTAGTTCTATGATGTTCTATGATGTTCTATGATGTTCTATGATGTTCTATGTAGTTCAAGAGTCTCTCACCAAGGTATCCCCTTGCATATTTGGGGGGAACCCTGGAGCCCCTGATTTTATAGCTATAATTTGGTGGGGCACAGCCCCCCAATAACCCTGCCATCTCTATAAAATCAAAGTGTCCAACAGGGATGTACAAAGCTATAAAATCTAACAAGTATAGACTGCCCCCCAATACTGCAAAATGCCTATAAAATCAGGACACAGCCTTGAACATTTTCCCTTTTAAAGAAAAAACATGAATCCCAAAGATCACTATAAAATTCAGGACTGGGTTACCTCATTTTGATGGCAGCTCTCTCATAGATTGTGAGCCGTATTTTTTTGGGGGCTACCAACCATGATTTTATAGCAGAGAGATCCCTTGTGAATTTCAAGGGTCTCCCAGAGACCGCCATTTTATAGAGATACCTGGTTTCCACTATAAGGGTACGTTCTGGGATTCTTTCTAAATCCAGGATAAAAATCAGATTGCAAGAAGTACGACTCTATAAAATCAAGAAACAAAAAATTGCCACATGAATACACATGCCTGTTTGTAACCACCAAAGTTCCCTATAAAATCTAGATACAGGGTGCAGGTTTTTTCCTTAAAGGTCATCCGCCTAGTCCAATACAAAATCAGGATCTCCAAAATGGTGGCTTTACAAAGCCTGTTGAAACATGTGCCTGGTCTCTGATGTTATAGTTATAGTGGAACTGTTTGAAAGAGATGTCAATACAAGCTGGACCGGGCCTTTGATTTTATAGAAAGGTTTCTTTTGGGATGGTTGTGGCTTGGGATACCATCAATTTCCATAGTTTGCTGAATGAATCAGGTTCAATTAAATGAAAACAAATACCAGAACTTGGAAAACAATTGCCATTTTGGGACACTTTTTTGAACTTTTTTGGCACCGGGATTGTTGAAGCAAAACTTCCAGATGAAATCGAAAAATTAGTCACTGGTCCCTATTCGGGGGCCCTTCAAACATGAGTTATCAGTTATCCATTTCGGAGTGCTGTTGCGCCTCAGTATATGGAAAACTTTATATAAAGATGTTGGAGGCGAGTAATGACCCAATTTTGGAATTTAGCGTGGCGGGAGGTTACACTTTTAATTTTAAAGAGAGAGAGTGAGAGAGAGAGAGAGAGATTTGGTCCATATTGACGCCGACTACACGCACTAAGTACCCCCAATGATTTCTGAACTATCTGTGGTAAGGCAACGTGAACACGCGCAGTGCTCAAGCAAAAACTCTCTATAAAATCGACAAATTAGTCTCTATTTGGGTGTCCTTCCAACCTGAACTGTCCATTTTGGAGTCCTGCGGTCCGCGGTGCCTTGCGGTATAGAAAGTGGCAAGGATGTTTTTGGGGCACGTACTGACCAAATTTTGGAGTTTAGAGGGCCAGGAGGATGTAAAGAGTCCATTTTCTGGAACATTTTGAATCTTTTGGATTTTATAGAGGCAATGGCTCCATATTGAAGCCGAGTACATGCACCAAGTACCCCTACTGATTTCCGAATCATCCCCAATCCGTCCCAATTTCAAGCTGCTGAAAGGCAGCGTCAACACGCGCAGTTCTCAAGCACAACCTCTCTATAAAATCGTCAAGTTAGTCGCTACCGGGGGTCCTTTCAAACCTGAACTGTCCATTTTGGAGTCCTGCTGTGCCTCACGATATGGAAAGGGGCAAGGATGTTTACTGACCAAATTTTTGAGTTTAGAGCTCAAGGAGGCGGGAAGCATATGAACAGAGTCCAGTTTCTGGAACTTTTTGAACCTTTTTGATTTTATAAAGACAATGGGTCCACATTGAAGCCGAGTACATGCACGTACCCCCACTGATTTCCGAATCATCCCCAATCCGTCCCAATTTCAAGCTATGGAAATGGAAAAGCAACGTCAACACGCGCAGTGCTCAAGCAAAACCTCTCTATTAAATCAAAAAATCTTTGTTTGGGGGTCCTTCAAGCCTGAACTGTCCATTTTGGAGTCCTGCTGTGCCTAACGATATGGACAGTGGCAAAGATGTTTGAGTTAAAGGGCAAGGAGGCGGGAAACATGTGAACAGATTCCAGTTTCTGGAACTTTTTGATTTTATAGAGGCCGCATTCAAACGCACAACCTTAAAAAAAGAACCAACAAAAAATAATGCTTTGTTTTTTTGGGAAGGGTTCCCAAGAGGTACCTGAAACAATCTAGAACTAGTTTGAAACCATCTCTATCTATCCATCTGTCTGTTTCTCTTTCTCTCCCTCGCTCTCTCTGTCATATTTATCTATCGGTTATATTCTCACTATCTCTAAGATGTGGATCACCTCAATAACTATCGCATTAGTCAGCTGCTGTATTGGCAGCTTGTTAGACCCATTCCCCGTCGGTCTTGATAAACATGTTAACGGGATGCGGAGATCGGTTACACAACAAATTTATCTCAAAAACCTTCCCTCTATTAAGTCAGGATCAGTGGGCCAACAAATCAGAACCATGCCAAAAAAAACATCTCTATAAAGGTCAGGTTCCTGGGCCCCCCTGAATTGGTCATAAGCCACATGTTGGCTTACAAATGGTTTACGAAAGGCCTTCTATGAAATCAGATTTTTATTTTTGTATTCTTTTTGGAGGCTTTGTGCACAGACCTCATCTGACTAAAATGTCCATTTCAAACAATACATGGGTACTACCATCAAATAAATACATTTATATATGTGATTATTTATGTATATAGGAAATAGAAAGGGTATGCAAAGAGCATAAACACCATACGCCAAACGACAAAGAGGGTAGGCATTTTGATTTTATAGATAGTGGGCCATGATTTGATGTGATTTGCATTGCTTGCCTTGCTAACCAACACCCCCTGGTCAACTTGCAGGCTTTAATTTGAGCCAACCAACCAACACCGTGTCTATAATATCAAAAACATTTGAAGACTATCAAATACTATCAAACAACACCAGGGGAAACCTATAAAATTAAAACAAAAAAACAAGATCATCCATTTGTTAGTCCAAAATCAACCCGCTATAAAATCATAACGCACAGCCTCCTCCAATCTGTTGCCCCAAAAAAAGTCCCACTATAAAATCAAAACACACAGCCTCCTCCAAT